AAAAAAACAGGGCTCTGCAGTCACTTCATCTAACACATCTTAAAATGACCAAACAGAGAGGCCCAGAATCCTGTGTGCCAGGTCCCAGAGAACCTCAGGACAAATGGCTAACTGTGGTGCCTATTTCACAAACCAAAGTACACACTGGCCTCCAGGCTCACTTGGTACCTGTGACTCCTCTCTGCTCTTCTCTCCCCTGCCCTCTACCCCAAACCTCTCCAGCTCAGGGGCTTTAATTTTCTCCTCTCAGCTTCTCTTTCCTATATAAACCTTCCATTTCAGTCACATGTTCTCTTGGTCCTACTCTCTTGGCTCCTGGTCCCCTCTCTTGACCCTCTCTGATCTCATCCCCCTATTCACTCCTTTCAGGGCTCTGTTTAGTTTGGACCCTTCCACATGCCTCTGGCTGAACTCTCCCTCATAACTGTAATAAAGCCTTTCTCCTCAGCCATACCTAGGAGCGGTCACATCCTTGTTTTCCTACACTCTGACCATCAATGAACCAGACGAAACTTGATCCTTTACTTCTGTCACCTACTGTTCCCTTTTGAAGGACTTCAACCTGAGGCTTTCCCACAGACTCGGTGAGAGGTTCCAGTTTCCCATGTTGAAGAGAGGATTCTTGAGTATTCCTGGTGACAGGGAATTTGCTTTCCCAGTCATTAAATTTCCGTTCTGCTCTAAGATCGGTGGCCATACACCTCCACTGGCACGATGATATCATACAACTTCCCTGGGAAGGATGCTTAGACATTTGTTAAAACAGGCTTCTTACCACAAACCTAGTGCCAGCCACAACTTCCATTCCAATCACAACCAGCCAGACTGGACAACAGGAGGACCAGGAGAAACCACAAACACTTAGAAAAGTACACCTACTCAGGCAATTTCTATTTCCTTCCTTGACTGCCTCTCTTTATGGCTCCTAACCCTATCATATCATCTGTGGATTATTATGGTTAACCAGGCCCAGCAGGCTGAAGGTTCTTTGCAGATACAGAGGCAAGTCCCTGGCCCAGGCCCTCCCTAATGAGCTCTTGTCCTCTCCAGCACCTGTACTGGGAGGAGCCCCCAAAGGACTCAGTACATACTGGTCAGATAAATGAGTGAACTTCACCTTATAGACAAGAGACCATTGAGACTCTAACTAGTGCATTCTCAATTAGGATCTTTTTTTTTATTCTCTGATCACACTTCTTCCCTCCCCTAAAATAAATAAGCAAAGCTAAGTATAGATGTGTATAAATACAACAAAATAGCAACTTAATTATCACTCTGGGAGGACCCAAGATTAGGCCACCATAGGAGGCCATGCAGAGAATGCTCAAGCGGTGGCTGGGGGCTGCACCCACCTCACCCACTCTTCTCAATATCACTGTGGGGCTTTGAGCCTTCTTTCCGTAACCGGGTACTGCTATATAGAGCATTGTCATCAAATCTCCTAGCCTTGTGTCACACTCAGAATCAAGTTTTCATGGTGCTATTCCTAAGAAGGAATCAATGCATCATCTCAGGGGACTCTCATTTTCAAACAGGAGGTGACAGGGCCTTGACTTGTGTCTTCTCCTTCTCCACTTCTGCCCTTTTTCCTGGTGTGTCAAACACTCATCCTCACCAACTTTTGTCATCTTTTTAGCAGCTAAGTTCCTTTCTTTCGTAGAAGCAGTACCCTCTAGGAACAGAACTATTCCTGGGCTGCAGGATTTCCCACCAACAAATAATCAGAAAGCAACCTAATTAACTGAAACCAATGACCACATTAGGCCACCTAGTATAGCATCCTGATTAGGCTTTCAGATCAAATCTTTGAGAAACACCTTCACTTTGCCCAATGTCATAGCACTGCTAATATATAGACTATAAAATACACAAGTAAAAATCAGAATAAAATAAAGAAAATACCAGCCCAACAAAAGCTGACAAGTGTAAGAAATATATTCCTCAGAAGCTAAAGAGACAGCTACCATTTATTCTGAAGTGCTGAAAGAATGAGAAGAGACATTATTTTTAAGCAACAAGCAAGGCAAGTGCTTAAGTCATGTATTCAATTAGTTACTTACTTAAACACAATACTAGACAGAACAAATCTATTGCAGATAAAAATCCACTCATTGATCTCAGATCTCATTCTACTGAAAACCTCAACAACAACAAGAACAAAAAGGGTAGAACAGAGTAATGCTCTAGAAGCCTGTCACATCTGATTCCTTACACAGTCAGACTTCCTGGAGTCTGAAGCTTACCTTCCCCTAACTGAGTGTTTCAAACCTGCACACTGGCACAGACCCCAAAGATTGTGTCCCTGGGATTCTGGGCAGCTGCTGCCCAGGAATTCATGATCACGTGCCTTCCAACTCTGTGACGAGGTTTCTAGTCACTAACCAGGGTCAGAAGAGGCTGTTTATAATTTGCATGTGATTCTCTGCCTGGCGCAGGCCACATGAGTAAGAGCAGGTGAGTCAGATGGCTTACATCACTGAAAGCAGGCATTTTAGATGGAAGCCATTGACTACACTTGAATCTGTCAAGTCCGCATTTTCACTTGGTCTGAAATCCCACTGTTCACTGCCTGAGTGGTGGTGCCATGTCATGAACTTTTCCAGAAATATCCACTAGTTCTCCTATTTTCTAGAAGAAAAATTAATCCTTTGTTTTCCAGGGGCATGTCAATCAGTGGGTGAACTCTAAGCCTTCTTCTAATAACAAAGCTTCGAGAAAGCAACCTGACTGCATCCCATGCTTAGCTGGATAGATTTATCTTTGGTGACCACTGCAAGGAGGAGGAGTGATTGGATGGCAGGTTACAAAAAAAAAAAAAAAAAAAAAAAAAAAAAAAAAAAAAAAAAAGAAGAAAGAAAGAAAGAAAGAAAAGATAGGAAACAGGGTCTCCTTATATTTCAGGACCACTAGTAGGAATCTTTATTTGTGCCTAGGCAGTGGTTCTCAATCTGTGGGTCACAACCCCTTTGGAGGGCAAATGTAAGATATCCTGTATATCAGATGCTTAAATTATGAATCATAACAGTAGCAAAATTAGAGATGAAGTAACAACAAAGTAATTTTATGGTTGGGGGTCAATGCAACACGAGGAACTGAATTGAAGGGTCACAGCATCAGGAAGGTTGAGAACCACTGGCCTAGAGGATGGAATGGCTCCTGGGACCTGCCTAGACTCTGTGCCCACCCCCTCAGAATCAAACCAGGCCAAGTACAAGTGAAGCTCAAATATTTCCTGAGGTGAGAGCACTCCAAGTAGCCTTCTGCAGAATCCTGAGCTACCAGGGACAAGATCCAAATAGATTGTGAAAACAGCTAAGAACACATGCTGTCACTGTGGCTCCAAGGTCAATGACCTCAGAAACTTGGGACTCTAGTTGGCCCCCTGTAAGTAAGCCCTCTTAATTACAAAGATTACATCATCTGTAAGTAGCCATCTCCATTTCTACCTGACCCAGGAAAGGCTCTGCAAATAGGTATGCTGAAATCTGCTTTGGAAGAGTCCTGGCAGGTGTAAACTAATTAGAAATAAAACAAAACACTTGGAATGAAATGTAGAAAGTCAATAGCATTCTCCATCCCCAAACAACACCTCATCCTCAAGAAAGTTAACTTTTCACAGACCAGGAATCCTGGCATTTCAGGCCACCACACAGCTCCTTTGGACTTCTCCCACTCAAGGGCAGAAGATCATGGAACCCTTGCCAAACTCAGTTGCAATACTTGATTCCACAAAGTCTTTTTGAGTAGAAATGCCAACTTGGGGTGGTTAAAACGCTTAAGAAACTCGGGGCACCAGATCCTGCTTTTTTTTTTTTTCCTCTTGTCTAATTAAATAAGAAGACTTTATTTTCCTCATTTCCTGACGTCACTGGCACTATAGTCAGCTTTGCACAGGAGATAAAGCTCACCTTGTCTTTTCAAGTCCCTCTTCTTTGGTACATTTCAGTCATTTGCTCCGCCTTGCCAGAATCTAACCTAATTCAAGTGCATGTTGACAATGCACTTTTCAATGTGAAATAAAGACATGACAATCAACTCCGATCTGACTACAGCTTTTAATCTATCACATTTTTTGAGCCATTTTCATTCCTTTTAGATCCTATCTGTCGTCACAACTCTATCAGAATGCCCATGGAAAGTAACCAGGCTCATTAATAGAAGGCGTGGCACACACTCATTTATTACAGGCTTACGGATACACCACTAAACTAACAGTTTATGAATCATCAGATGAGACGGTAAAAAAAACAAATATCACATGTTAATCACACCGAGTATCTGCATACATGAGTAACATACATGAGAAGCAACAGCAAAACACAAAAGAACATTTTAGTTATATATGTTCTGGGCTTTCATTCTGATTCTCTCAAAAACAAAATTTATAAATTTCGTTAGTATAAAATACATAAGCCAAGTCCTGACGGGAAGTAATGATGGCCATCTAACAATTTGAATATAAACCACAAGTCCTTGCTAAGTAAACCACTGCATGACCTACGATGGTATTTCACTGGAAGTCAAGGACAGATGGTACCTCCCTCTTCAGTGAAACATCACAGAAATGGGGAGTCAACACACAAAAGGAAGGTTTTTGAGTTTTCTGCCCAATGCAGCGATTTCTATCAGAGGACAATGGTCAAAGAATTTAAGCGGTGACCATTTTCATTATATTTAAAAGATATCTAAAGTAACCTTCCTGTGTTCCTTTTGGGAGATGAACACTCATTTTTCTAACCCATCAAGACAGAGAAGAAAGCAGAAAGCTATATTAGAGTTCAGGGCCACAGCCCCTTTCAAATTTGTCTATCAATCCTTTACACATAGGGAAGAAACAAGCTGGCTATCACTAACCCTCAGAAGCAATTACAATGGAAACTCTTGGTATGTACTAGAGTAACACTGCCGGTATGAAAACAGTATTACGACAAAATCAAACTCTGTGCCAATGGATGCCATACACCCACATAACGAACTTACAGTGGTATCTTTGTTCTTACCTGGAATTGTCTTCAAGAATCAAGACAAACAAGGCATGTGTGCCACTGGAAAGTACTGGGCTGGATCCCGGGGCCCTTGCCTGGTCTTCTGCCTTCCTTGTTTCAAAGTAGTGTCTACACACAACCTCTGTAGACACTCCGGGAACACCAGCAAGTTTTAACGCATCTGAAAAAGCCTGCCAGGAGCTGGCTGCTTAGGCTGATGATTCACTTCAATGAGTGCTAGACCAGAATGCTTCTTGGTGGGAACAGAAGTTAAGTCCAGCTCCACCCCATCCTTAGCTAAGGCTAGAGTAACTCCACCCAGCTCTGTAATTAGCTGGAATCCTCTCATTCAATACCCTACAGTAAAGTTACCTGCAGTTGTTCTTAGAGTATCTTTTCTCCAAATGACGGTCCTCTAAGGATGGATGAACCCAACATGTGGTGTGAGAAGAGGTCATGTTGTCTTGTGGCCAACTGTCTATTTCTCTGGGCTGTCTGGCTTGCATTGGTTCCCTGGACAGGCAGGCAGATCAGCCTTCCACCCTTCACTCACTCCATTCACAGCTCACCCAGCTTTTGTCCTGCTCTTTTTGCTGGGCTCCACAGGCAGACTGGAAAGCCCAACTTCCTAGCTCTCAGAGAGCTTAAAGTCGCCACAGAAATAACCACCCTATGACTACCATGCTGAAAAGAAACAGTAGGTGAGCCTGGGTCTTCCAGGGAAGACAAGTCCTACCTACAAATCCACAATCCCAGTTTTTAGTCCCCTCCCCCGCCAATGCCAGGTACCTAGAGGCAAAGAAAGCTGAAGAGCTCTGCCTTGTTCTCTGTGTACAATGTCTCGCTTGTCAATTGGGCAGCCTGACCACCTGTCACTGGATTGCCATCTGTTGTCATAAAAGAGTGACCAAAAGCAACTTGTGGATGAAGGGTTTATTTTCCTTACATTTCCTATTCATTGTCCAACACTCAGGGAAGCAAGCCAGGAACTCAAGGCGGGAGCCTGGGAGACCAGAGCTGAAGCAGAAGTCATGAAAGAATTGGAAATCCATGTAAGCAAACTTACCTAAACAAGACATGTAAGGTGTGTGTGTGTGTGTGTGTGTGTGTATAACAGTTTGCCTCGTCACATAAACAACTCAGTTCCAGCCTTCAGAACCCACATTAAAAAAACAAAAAAAACAAAAAACAAAAAAACTTGGCATGTACCATGTACGTGTAATCCATTCACTGGGGAAGTGGAAAGAGGCAGATTACTGAGGCTCACTGGCTAACCAAACCCCCTCCCCAGGAGACCTCCAGGTCAGGGAGAGACCCTGTCTTAAAAAGCAATGTAGACAGCATAGAACGAACAACACTGGAGGTTATTTTCTGGCCTCTACACAGATGTATACACATCTGAACATGTGCAACCCCACACACAAATGATAAAAAGCGCCTATACTTCCAATGAAATGCAACCTGTGATGGCCCAACTGTAGTCCTCAAAAATCATATGCTAAGATCTTAAACCCAGTGCCTCAGAATATGACTACCCACAGATAGAACCTTTGAAGAGGTAATAAAGTTAAAATAAGGGCAATGAGGTGATTTCTAACCTAATATGACTGTGTCCTTATAAATGGTAAGTAGGGACACAAATAGGCAAAGGGAAAACAGGAAGAAGATGGCCATTGCCAGCTAAGGAAAGAAAGAAACAGCCAACCATGATTACAAACACCTTGACTTTAAGCCAACTATGATTACAAACACCTTGACTTTAAGATCTCTAGGCTTGCAGAACTGTGAGGGAAAACATGTGAGATGCTAAAGCCATACAAGTTGTGGCAGTCTGTCATGGCAAACCTAGCATTTTGCTCCAGCTGGAAAGAAGGGACGGATCATCCTTGTTTGGAAAGCTGAGTGGAAGAACCTCATTCTAGAAATGGGCAAGACCTTTCCCCTCCATGTCAGTCAAACTCATCAAACAAGGTTCCTAGGTCAACTGTGTCCTCTGGAGCCCACTGAAACCAGCTTTGTGCTGAGCCTGCAATATAACTGACCAGTTATTAACAATCTCAGCACTAAATTTTAAGAAGAAATTGTGTGTGTGTGTGTGTGTGTGTGTGTGTGTGTGTGTGTGGTGTGTGGGGTGGTGTGTGCGGAGGTGTGTGTGTATGAGTGGCCAGAAGTATACATCTAATTCTTTTTGACTATAGGAAGATACTAGGGCCTAACCACAATAATTGCATACCCAAGAGTGGAGTCAATCCAAGAATCATGTTCCTACTAACTAGGGTAAACCTAGAACCATCCTAGCAGCCAGACCGCCCACATTTTGTTTCCCCAACTTTATAGTGTTGAGACCACAGTGAGAGGTGACATGGACAAGACCTCAGATAACT